AAAAGGAATTGTCAACACAACCATGGAAAACATCACATAAATAAATATGAATCATCAAGAACTGAATGAAATTAAATCACAATGAAAACTGACGATTATCAATAATAAATGCTTAACAAACTAAAGTGTTTATAAAAACATGTGCAAAGTGTTCACAATGTAAACAGAGAACCTGAGATCTGAGAAGACTATCTTTCATATAACATATTATTTTACCGCAAGTTAGTGCAAAAAAGGTCACCCTCTGGTGATTACATTTTAAAAATAAATAAATATAATATGCAGTGGTTTGTAAACATAGAAGAAATTAAGTAACCTGAGGTAGACTTATAACTTTACATCTGTAACATCTTGAACTAATTCAAGTATATTTTACCAAGTTTGTGCTAGACACCGCTGGTTGACCCTTTCCTGGCTTCTGTGAAAGCTGCCCCTCGCGTCGCATGTAACTCACAGACTAAAAACCTTCCTTTCCCTCGCAGCGAGGCGTAAATGGGTGGGCTCGGGAATGCACAAGTACTTTTTTGCCAGCTACAAGACAATCTGGGAAGTTGTGATTTCATGGACGCACTCCTAACAGTCCAGGGGTTCAGACTCACTGGTCTGCTCAGGACACGTGAGAGGCACAGTTCAACCTCTTCTTGACTCTGCTCTTTTGAAGAAGCTTCCCCAATGACTTGCGTTGCCTTCTTCACGCCCAGCCTGGACGGAGGACTGGCTTCAGCGGCCACCGCAGCTCCTCCTTCTGCACTTGGTCTGCTGCTTCCTCAACAGGCCCTGCCTGTGACATGGCCTCTGGGGCCTTCCATCAACTATCTCAGACACTGCTCTCATTTCTATGGCCTACCCTTCTCTGGTCTGTGTATTGGACTTTAAAACCCTGGGTACATCCAAGGTAAGCCAAATGCAAGCGAAGATCATGTGTGTCAAGGCCCGCATCATTTCTCATCAAGATCAACATTATTTTTGTCTTCATATCTTTTGTGAGCTGAGTGTGCGCCCGCCCCTCATGGCCTTACTTTAAGCACACAAACGCAACCCAGTTGGAGCAGACAAGTGGAGCGTAGGCTTCACATATACCAGACTGTCACATACTGATCCACTAGTTTACAGACAACATTGGTCTGACTACGGTCTGACTTATAAAATCCAAAAAACTCCCATACTGGCGAGCTGACCTTTCCATTTTTTTAAACAATTTCCTCGCTCGTTGCAGCACTCATCTTTCACTTGCCATGCTGCTTTCCACACCACGCTACACCACGCTGTTTCTGGAAACAACACGAGACAACGAGATGGCGCAACCAAACATGATACTGTTACATGATTGGCTATTAGCGTGTCACTCCATACATTGCTAGGTACCAGACGACGAGTGCCTTTGTTCATGCAACCAACCTTGCTTCGCAGCCAAAGCGGAGCTAAACTTACGCCGGTTTCTTCCAATGAGGAAAAAAAAACATATCGAAACATTCTATCGAACGCATTTTTTATTGATATTGATTACGTGTCTATCGAGATACATATCGTTATCGTTTTATCGCCCAGCCCTACTGCTAGATGCCACTAAATCCTACACACTGGACCTTAATAAAAATAATATTAGAGCTTGTTGCATTGCCACCAAGAGCAGGTTTCAAGTTCCATGTCTGTGTTTGTACATAGATTAACATAAACTTGTCAGTAGATTAAGTAAAATCTCTTGGATCTACAGTAGATACAGAGCCCAAAGCTACGTCACACAAGTGTTTCCCTCCTTTAAAAACCCCTCATACTACAAACCTACTCAATTAATCATACATGCTGTATATACGCACACATTTCTTGTACATTCAGATACCACCCTCTAACCAAGCCTCTCTAAACCACGCTTCATTATTCATTAGCCCCCGCTGTAGCTGGTACGCATAGTGCACTTGCCACTCCACAACTCAAACTGGATGTTAGTGTGTTATCAGCCCATCTACTGTACAAGAGCAGCTCCTTAACGACCTGTCACAGCACTCAGGTCAACTGATGGGCTGCGACAAGCACTTCTGCCTTATGGCAGACAAGTGTGAAGGAGTAAAAACTGATGTTTTCTCTACAGTGATATTACCTAGCTTGACATCCAGAGCTGCACGCTCACAAAAGATGCACACTGACTCTGGCCATGATTATGTAATGGCACTAGAGCCTAAAAGGGAATACTACTAAATTTTAACACGGAGGGATGCTATTCCTATGCCTTCAGACCGTTTAGTCTGTGTCAGTGCACATGTTGGAGTTTGTCCTGCCCACTGATGTTGGGTGTTACAGTATGTTTAGTGCTGCAGAGACTAAACTGCAAAAAAGAAAGAAAGAAAGCTGCTGAACAATAAGCTGACCAGACAGTGGTTCTTTAAGGGTAAGCATGTGTAGACCATGACTGATATCCCTACTACAACCTAAATGAAAAAAGAAATTATGAATTATTTCGAGTTTAACCAGGCAGCAACAAAGACAACTGTTGGTGTTTGCTTAGTGGGAAACCGGTGAGGGATCATTCCCTTTTCGCTGAACTAGCAACTCCTACTTGTTAATTGAGCTGCCTGGCTGCAGTGGGGTATTATCTGAGTGTAATGCCAGTAATGCCTAGGGCTAGGTGAAAAGTAGCAGCTGGCGTATCAGAGGAGACACATGGCAGTCTGCAATTACAAGGACTCTGGTATATGGAGAATTAGCCAATCCAAATTAGGAGGCAAAATACAGCGTTGATATTCATTTTTGAGCTCTTCCCACATTATTAGTATATTGTATATAGCTGTGGTGTTTTCTGAAAAAAAAACACTTTTATAAAATCCAAACTTTGTCGACAGTGCCACAAAAGTAACTACCTAAAAAAGAAAACTCTGAGATAAGGCCAGGATAAAAGTCAACAATACAACTGAGACCTTTCAGAAATGGTCTGCCTACAAACACTGGCTATCTTTAGCAAGGCTTGGATATGCTAGCAGAGCTGCATACAGCCAAAGAAGGATGCCATCCATGGGGTCCTTGCCCCTTTACTTTTCTGTGCTCGTCACAACACAACAACAGATGGAGGACTCAACGCAGTAAAGCACGACTCCTATGGCACAATGGCACCATCCCATGCTGATGATGCATTGGATTAGCAATTTACTGATAAAATACAAAAAAGGTTTGCAGAATTTAAGTCATATCAATGAATGTTAGCACTCAAATGTGACCCCTCTTGCCATCTAACAGTTGAATGCCCCGTCTCCCACTGTCATAAATATAAGAAAGAAAAGTTTGTTCCACCCACAAAAGGTGAATGTGAGAAGACATACTTGTACATTTTGAGAACTGAGAACTGGGAACTTTTTACCTCCTGTGAAGAGACAGAAGCTTAAATAAACAGATGGACAGACGTGCGAGCATGAATGCACGAGCACTCACACACAGGCACACGTGGAGCATTATTCATGCAGTGGGATGTCCCTAAATGAATCCATGTGGGTAAATGTCATCAGTAAATGTCAATAGCTTTTTGAGGCCTGTCCTGAGGACATGGAGCCCAGCATATGGGCCGCAGGACTCAGACGTACCTTCATTTCCTACTACTTCATCTATTCTTAATCTACTTTAAGGACCTCATCTGCTCATGTGATGAATTAAACAACACACGAGTGAGGGTCTTTTGACAAGCAGGAAGCAGAAAAGAGGACAGATGTGATCACAAGATGATTGCTATCCACTCAAATAAAAGAACATAAGGAATAGAGAAAAGAAGAAAACTCCCGTCTTACTTTTTCATGTGGGAGAGGAGAACAATACAAGTAATTGTTAGAGAAAGAAACATTCTACTAAAACCTAGAGACATCCTGTAAACACTGGAGACATGCACACTGTTCAAACTTTTACACCTGTGCTTCTCAGGGATCCTTTCTTAAGAAGAGATAAAGCCTGATACTATGCGGCTAAAAGAGCCTTAGACAGACTGCAGCCACACGTATATCCACATTGTGCTAACATATGGTCATTTTGTCTGTACCTCGATGTAGGAGGCGAGCCTCGGGTAGACCCTGTAAGGTCCCAGCACGGGAGACAGAGGGGTGGTGCAGGGGAAGCTGGTGGTCACAGCGTGGCTCACTTCAGGCAGAGAAAACACCTTGAAGCCAAACTTCTCATACAGCTTCTGCAGTTCTTCATCTGGCTTCTCTTCACCCTCACAGAGGACACTGCCCACCACATAGCGACATTTCTCTGATGGCCTCTGAGGGGACAGAAAGAGGGAATGAATGGACATGTACTGAACATTTACAAATTCTGCCCTGCTGGTGTTGTCTTTGTATGCATCTCTTTCTTCCAGGGACTATTAGAAAAGTTACTCTTTACAGCTAACTTAAGTTAAAGCTAACTACTAATAACCTTTGAGCTGTATTGTATTACCCGTGGAGACCTGTCTGTTCAGTTAAATGCATTTGTGTAAAATAAAAAAAAATAAGAAAATAAGGAGGAGGAACAATGTGTTGCTGTTGAAAAAAACATTTATAATAACAATAGGTGACTGGTGCGTTTAATGCTTGCACATGTGTCGAAGTAAAAAAAGAAGCCGTTTGATTTAAACTTGTGGAGACGTTGCACCTTCACATGGCCTGCCAAGTGTCACTGACAGAAGGCTGCCAGCTCTGGTAAACATCCCACAGTCAGGTCACATATGTGGCAGTTCAAATTGTATCTGCACTGAAAAGCATGTGAGTTAAGTGTGCCAGAAATTGTCACCTATTCGTACACCATGCTCCAAGCAAACATTATTAAAAAAATTACAAATAATAATATATAATACATTTTGCATTTGCAAATGAATTGTGTTTTACATGAAAAGGATTTGAAGATATTTGGCCAAAACGTTGTAACATTTGTAGGTTTTGCTTCAGATTGCTTACCCCTGGAAGCAGCAGGGATTGTTTGTCTGTCCTGATGACACTTGAGGAGAACACAAGCCGACATAGAGGTTTGGTCTCCTTCACTACAAAGCGTCTCTGCCACCATGATGTTTCTAAATGTGCCCACATGTCTGCATGCAGATGAGACTGAGCGAATTGTCAGTCAGAAGAGGATCTGACAGAGATTCTCCCACTCACATCTGTTTGCAAATACTTTGCAGTCTGTCTGTAGAACTTCAAATGGGAAGTGGGAGCAGTTGTTAAAGGACCAAAGTGGCTTTTGTAAAATCACTAAAAATCACATAGGTTTCTGCCCACCATTTTCTAAACCTTGCCATAATGTTAATTTATATATGAGACTTGACAATAATAATGACACGTTGCTGTAAGACATTATGTACAGATTATATGCAGCGCAATAATAGAATAGGCCTCAGAAAACTATGACATCACACCTCCCTACACACACTGGTTTCTGTGCAGTATGAAAATCACCTATGAGTTACTTATGTTGACACAATCAAATGCAAACATCATCAGTGTGACAGATTTCCCAATGTATGTCAGATTTGTCTCTGCAAGTTGGTTTTTATTCTGCACTGAGAATTGGGAACCAATGGCAGTCGGGTAGGCTGGATTAACAACCTTGAAAGTAAAAAATAAATATTAAATACAGTATATCTGATTTTTACTAAATTGGATAAAACATACCCCAAAAAAACCCTGATATCGTCCTTTAAGACTTGCTTTGGTTTCTGCTCTGTGACAGTGGCGGTCTGTGACGGGCTGGCACTGAGGGGGCACAGATGGAAGCCAGCAACACTCATCTTCATGTCCCTGGCATCCTTGCATAATTATCACATCTAAACACCACAACCTTCTCTTCTTTTCCCTCTCAATTCTCACATTCAGAGATATTGCACTGTGCTGATACTGCACTGTGCTGCTACTACACCGCACTGTTCCCACTCTCCTACTTCGTTCATACGGCAGCTTTTGTGGCGTAATTCAGCGTTGTTGCTCCCGGTGAGACTCCATGGTTGAGATAAATCTATTTGCTCACCTCATCCCAAACCCTCATGGCCTCTTAATGTCTGCATCAAATGGGTAATAATAATGACTGACAGTGCCTGTTCAGCATGAGCAGATAATCTTTACTGTCACTGACAGAGACCCTTGCCACTATGTTAAACAGTGAGTCAGAGAACACGGATCACCTGCTTTTGACACGGAATTATTCATTCAAGGCAACCTGAGATATACTGGATCTATTTACAACGAAGCAATGAGTCATTGCAAACACAGACAGTCAACGGCTGTATTGTCAGAGTAAATCATTACAGCAATGTGACAGTGAATGAACATATATTTATTTTAAAGCCTTAGTAACATACATTAAATGAGTTAAATTTTAAAAAACATGATGGAGTTTTTTTGAAAAAAATTACATTTATTTATTCCTGTGCAGTATATGTACACCAATCAGCCATAACATTATGACCACCTGGGCACACTGGTGGTCATAATGTTACACAGCTCCATACGAACGGACTGCGATGCACTGTGTGTTTTGACACCTTTCTATTAGAACCATCATGAACTTTTTAAGCAGTTTGAGCTACAGTAGCTCGTCTGTTGGATCGGACCACACAGTCCAGCCTTCGCTCCCCACGTACATCAATGAGCCTTGATTGCCCATGACCCTGTCTCCGGTTCACCGCTTTTCCTTCCTTGGAGCACTTTTGATAGTTGCTGACCTCTGCAGACCGGGAACACCCCACAAGAGCTGCGGTTCTGGAGATGCTCTGACCCAGTCGTCTAGCCATCACAATTTGGCCCTTGTCAAAGTCACTCAAATCCTCACGCCG